CCATTTGGTTATGTGGACAGAATTAAAATAGTGAAAGTAAAGGACAAACACAACCCCATCAACAACAATATCGGCACAAATGAACATAACCAACAACATTACAATGAATCATAGACAACAACAAATTAAATATAAATTAATCAAAAACAGGATAAGTCAAGTAAAATCATAGTTGAATCAACCAAAAAAAGGCTAAACTTGTGGTGAAAACCACAATATCAATATTTAATCGGGATAAAGTCTCCAAAATTGACGCTAAACTAGATTGAAAAAAATCACTACACCAACACTAAACTGTGCTGAAAACCATCAAACCGGTACTACACAGGACTGAAAACATTGAACCGGAATGAAAACCACTGAACTGATACTAAATAGGGCTAAAAACCTTGAACCAAATTGAATCAGGATGAAACTCACTAAACAGGCACCAAACTGTTCTGAAAATCACCAATCCGACACTAAACCGGGTTGAAAACACTAAGCTAGGATTGAACTAGCATAAAAACCACTAAACTAGACTAAAAACACTGAATTCGATGAAAACTACTGAGCAAGCACCACACTGTGCTGAAAACCACTAAACCAACATTAAACAAGGTTGAAAACACTAAACTTATATTGCTTCGGGATGAAATACACTAAATTAGTTTCAAATTGGGCCGAGAATCACCAAGGTTGCATTTGGCATAACTTCTCAAAGTAAAAGTCCATTTCATATATAGACTTTGTAAGATGCACTTTTAAGAAATATTAACGTTTGACAAACATTTATTTTGGAAGTGCTTTTCAAAAATGAAGTGCATTTATATAAAAAAATATGTTTGATGACAATACCTTAGAAGTCTAAAATTTTACATACTTAACAATATTGCCCTTGATCTTGATTTTAAAACTGAATTCATCTAACATACTTCAAGAAATTATTTGCTAATAAATAAAAAATAAATGCGAAAAAACGTAGAAAGATTTATAAGAGTTTGTTGTCCATTAGCATATATCAGATTATTGGGTAATTGAGAATTGTGAAATGTAGATTTTTTTTTGGTGAAAACAAAGCCCCCACTGTTCTCATATTTTAAGGATCATAGGATATTGTGAAGCATGATGGCCTCACATACAGACTGCTATGAAAAACAAAGCCCCCACAATCTTCTTTCTCTCCACAATCATTGAACAACTCCTAGCCACTACTTTTATATCCTCTCTACAACTCTCTCCCTCTACTATATTGACCCTTTCATAAACCCTAAACCTATGCCGAGTCTTAACGCATATTCAGTGCCCACCCTCACAGCATTTTATTGCTCTCTGCTCTTTTCCTCTTACCCCTCTCTCTATGTTCATCTTTCCCCTTCAATCCACCCTCTCTTGGACGACATTTTCAACACCCAGATCCTAACAACGCTTTTTGTCCTCTCTATCTCTCTCTCTATATATATTGCACAACCCAAATGAAATTTTCTCGTTCTTATGGGTGGGTTAGGTTTTGGTAGGTGTATATATAGTATGAGTTATGTAAAATGCTTATGTCGGAGGATCAAAATAGAGATTAACTTGAAAAATAGAGGATGATATTGGGATTCCATTCTTTTATTTTATTAACGATGGAAACCAACTTAACGAGAAGTGGAAAAGGGACTATTTTAAGAAGCCTCCTCGGTAAGCTTTTGTAGAATGGGCATTTGTTTGATGTTCTTTTTTGAGAAGTCCATTTTGTTTTACACCAAGCAGTTAGAGCAAATGTAAAAGAGCTTGCATCCGGAGGAAACACATTTTTAGTTGTCCCCCAAACAAGCCCTAAGTCGGCACTGAAAACACTAGTATATGCATCGATGATCAAATACCGAAGATGGACACGAATTCAAGCACTCCACAATAGCTAAAAATGATCACAACAGTCGATGAACAAATGTAGACTAGTACAACTTGATGTGTGCTCAGTCGGCCCAACTACTAGGCGAGTGAAGTACTCACCTAGGGCCAGGCCTCACTCACCCAATTTTCTTGCTCTGATACCAACTTGAAACTTGGATAATTGTATCGTAAGGTTGAGGAAAAGAAAGATAAAAAAAAAGAGAGAAAGAAAAAGAGTATGAAACAATATTGTATGCAGGGTATATGTTGTCAACACCGTGTCACATTTATTCTAGATCGATATTAAAGACAATTACAATGTTAGGAAATTAGAACATGATAAGAAAACCACATAATAGGAAAGTAGAACAATAAGAAAGTGACAAGATAGGAAAGTAAAATAATAATAAAGTAACACTAATAGTTTGATTCGAAATTTCCTAAGAATAGATTTGGTGAAATCCTCTATTTCATATACCAAAAAAAGAATTGATTGATCAGGGGTAGGATTTATCTCTTACAATGGCTTGGCTGTTTTGCATTCTTTTGGGTGTAACATTAAGGAATTTGAGCATTGAAGTTGTAGAGCTTTGAATGAAGGCTCACAAACCCTGATTAGTGGAAGCATGTTTGTTTGTAAGCTTTTGAAGGCTTTAGCACTTGAATTCCATAGGCATCACACCTTGGGCTGGAATTGCATTACACAACCCAAAAGAAAGCATAATTGCTGGAAAATGTTGTAGCACTCAATTGTTCTACTAATTCATCACTTTGATGTAGAGGTTCAAGACTTGAAGAGTGGGACCAAGTAGTTCTCCAAGTTGTTTGACATCTACACTCAAGACTTTTGACAAAAAATTGGACCTTGTTTGGACCAAATAACCTAATTGCATAATTTTAAACAATAGATGCCCCATCATGTTAGCCCCCACCACTACAGCCCATTAACAGAATTATTAAAATACTTTTCAAATGTTGAATATGAGAAAATATTGGTGAAATAAGCGTAATGGCAACTAAACCTGAAGGCATCCTAAAATTATTGTAGGTTTAGCACTATATATGATAGCTCCCAAGTAGGCCCAAATTAAAGCTTAAGTCTTGGAAGGCTCTTATACCTTGAGTGGTTGTCACCACTTGTCTTCAACATTCTATCCCTTTTCCCCACTCTTGCTTGAGCATGTGTGATTTTCAATTATATTGTTTTAGGGGAAATGTAGTATTTCTATTATAAAATGACATTAGCTGACGTAGCAATAAATGAAGGTCACGAAGAGATTACCGTCTCTAAGTGTAAAACAAGAACACTCTGAGTCTATAGAGAAGAACAAAAGAATGACTCTAAAATATTATATTATTAATTGAATAATTCAAATTACATAGGGCAATATATATAGGAATGACTAAAATCCTAATTCTCTCCATAATGGAAGCAAAATCTTTAATTATACTAAAGTTATAAAAAATGAAAATTTTCAATCTAATTAATTAACATAAAATCACGTATCACCTATAGTTTAACAAAACTGTCAGTACTGAATTTGGAATCTCTTATAATTTATTATTAATTTTTGATTTTTTTCCTAAAACAAAAAAAGGGGGTTTGAGGGCCTAAACGATTAATTTGGCCTCAAAATTGAAGGAGCTCATGGAGAAGCAATGAATCTTGATCATCGACTCGATCCGAATCAAATACCATTGTTAGCTTGTCAAACTCCGATACGACATGATTAACAGACACGAATCGACACAAAAAGCAAATTTGGGTGCGGCCTTATCGGGTTCGGGTGGTAAACAGATGGACTCACCAAACCCGCTTAATCAACGGATAGTATTCGGGTAAGGCACCAGTTTATCTAAGTGTAAAAAACAAGAACACTGAGAGTCTATAGAGAAGAACAAGAGAATGACTCTGAAATATTATATTATTAATTGAATAATTCAAATTACATAGGGCAATATATATAGGAATAACCAAAATCCTAATTGTCCCCATAATTGAAGCAAAATCCTCCCCATAATGGAAGCAAAATCCTTAATTATACAAAATTTATCAAAAATAAAAATTTTCAATCTAATTAATTAACATAAAATCACAAATCACATAGAGTTTAACAAAACTGTCAGCACTGAATTTGGAATCTTTTATGATTTATTATTAATTTTTGAATTCTTTCCTAAAACAAAAAGGGGGGTTTGAGGGCCTAAATGATTAAATTCGGCTTCAAAAGTAAAGGAGCTCATGGAGAAGCAATGAATCTTGATCATTGACCCGATCTGAATCGAATACCATTGTTAAGCTTGTCAAAATCCGATACGACACGACTAACAGACACGAATCGACACAAAAAATGAATTTGGGTGAGGCCTTGTCGGGTTTGAGTGGTAAACAGATGGACCCACCAAACCCTTTTAATCAACGGATAGTATTCGGGTAAGGCACCAGTTTATCACCTGTTTAAATAAAATTAATATAATAATAAATTAATAATTATTCAAAATCCAAATTTTTCTAGAATAGTATATATAGTTATTAATTAGATCAATTTAAAAAAAAGTTTAATAATAATGTTTTTTTAGTGAAACCCATAGAAAATATATATGTCAAAATAAAAAAAAAATATATCCTAATTCCTAAATCTCTATCTCTCTCTGACGTGAATCAGCTCGATGAAGATCCAAACAGAGCGCTCTCTCTCTCTCTCTCGTGTGACATGAATCATTTGACTCTATATAATTTGTGTTTGTAGTTGGGTGTAGATTTTGGGCTCTCTTTCTATTCCCCACTTCGATTTCAGCCACAGATCTAACTCGAGAAAGTGGTTGAAATCCTCAAGACTTCTATGTTTGATTGTTAGATCTATATAATCTTTGTTTGATTATTGTGTTTTGCGGTTTTGGGTAAATGCTATAGGGGCTATGCAAGAGAAAAACAAAGGTTGGTTTGATTGTTATATATGTGTGTGTGTGTGTGTGTGTTTGGGTCAAACAGGTGGCAGGTTAAAAGTGTTATCGTGTTAACCCAACCCTACACAACCCAATTAATTTATTAACGAGTTAAATGAGTTGTGTTGTGTAACCCGCTTAATAAACGAATCGTGTTCAGTTTGAAGATTTTCACCCGTTTTCTTAAAAAAGTCTTGTACGGGTTTACTGGTTTTACACAAACTCGATTAGATCTGACTCGTTACCGTTTAACCCGACACGATTGACACACTTACCATTGGCCCCACTGAATTTCGAGTCTGACTTATTTTGTCTTTACTATTACTTTTTGGCCTTTTGTTGCACTTTGAAGCCACGATGGTCTATTCGCTCCAAGTAATCTGCTACCGACTAATCTACATCATTAGCACATTCTATCTTCTAATGTTTCACCAATTGCAATGGTAGAATAAATTATTGCTTATTAGTCCTGATTTTTCAAAGCTTTTGGTGAGTTCCATTCGCATAGTTTGGTTCCCATGTTTCTCATTGTTGAAGTTCATTTGTATCGTAACTATTTTCTTCTTGTGATTGCAAGAAATTTTTTTGGGTTGGACCTGGGTAAAGTAGGCCTAAGCCGTTACTTGGACGAGTTATTGGCGGCTTCGGTTATATATATACAATTTCATTTAAAAAGTTTGCAATATAGTATTTTTGAATTTAAAGTAGCGTAAAAATAGACAAAAAGTAAATAATGAATAATTTTATTTAAATAAAATAGAATCACATATTACCACCAAACTTTCAAAATTTTAATGGTCAATTTTTTTTCAAACAATTGGGTGGAAGGGCGGGCTGGCTCTTGGGCCGGGTTTGAACGGGTTTTGGTGTGCAGGCTCTTCAGTCGGATTTCGGGCCGAGTAATGGGTTTGGAGGCAAACCCAAGTCCTTTCTTGAAGGATATTGGGTTCGGGCTTAGATGGGCCAGGTCTATTTTTTCCGAGCCGGGTAACGGGACTCATGGACTAACCCAACTCATGGACACCCCTAAATGCTTGTTTTAACATTGTTGATTGGTATGTGCACAGAAAGCATGGGAAGTGGCACAAGCCCCTTTCAAGAATTTGTTCATGATGGGCTTCATGATGTGGATGGCTGGAAGCACAGTTCATTTGTTTAGTATTGGTATCACATTTTCAGCTCTTTGGCAACCCCTAAGTGCCCTTCAAGGTGTTGGGAAAGGTAAGGCACTAAAGCAACATGAAATTTATCATAAGCTGCAACTTTTGTTGTTTTCTTTTGGATAGAGGAAAAAAGAGAGAATAAAGGGGGTATATGGGTTAATCTTTCACAAACTTGGATAACCATGAGTGCAGGCACTGATGTTGTAACATTATTAGCCCACAACAAGTGTCTTTCTTTCCCTTTTTACGTTGGTTATATTAATCATTTATAGGTTAATTTGATAGGATTTATTAACTTTTCCATCTCATGTCTGAATGAAATAGCAACATTGGTAAAGATATCGTCAATCTATAGATTCAGATTCATAGCAATTGGCGAAAAATTTTAGTTGGGAAGTAAAATAAGGCAGCTAACCAAAATGCATGATTTTGTATTGAAGTACATTTTTACATGGTTTCGGCATCTGCATATCTTTTTAACTTGCGATTTCCATTCTTATGTTATGATTATTCTCCAAAATCTGCCTTGTTAACTGTCAATTTTTGGTTGCAGTTTTTGAGCCTTACAAGGATAGTAAAGTGGACCTCCTTGGGCCTAAATTGGTGTTTATCGCTCTTAACTTGGTGGGCCTAGGACTGGGTGTCTGGAAGGTGAGATTACTTTTTCAACTTTCGTTATAAGTGCATTGCAAATCTTAGCATCTCTAATGTTCTTCTTTGTCATATAAAACGAATTGCTGCTGGCAGCTTAACACATTGGGTCTTCTTCCAACCCATGCATCAGACTGGGTTTCATCCTTACCCCCAGCTCAGGTTTGATTCTTTGTCTTTAACTAGCATGTAGTATTTTTTTTCATTGGTACAGGAGTTTCCTCTGCTATTTTGTAAACAATTACAGAAATACAGGTGACATTTAAGTGGGAAATGATGAACTTATAGATGTATGCTGTAGGAGGAACTTTAGGAGCTCTAAGAATGCTGGTGTAAGCTTTAAATTTTGTGAGGCCTAAGTTTCCCTATTTCTCACTTTTCTAATGGAATTTTATGAATGGTTTGAGTGATGAGAACACAATGCGAAATAGAACTAAGTGAGACTAGAATATGAGGTGGCTTGATTTGTATTTGTTGATTATTGTGAATATCTCTCCAACAAAAGGTGTCAATGTGACAGTGTGCTCAAATTTATCAGATCATTGGTAGGTCACTATCACTTCCATGAAAGTTATCCCTTAAATCTGGCATTTGCTTTTGAGTATGCCTCAAATATGATGTGTTATCCAATAATTTGTTACTTATAACATTGAAAACACCACGAGTTTTAGTGGAAATACACTTGACCCCTTGAGTTTCTAGAAGTAAAAACAAAAAAAGAAGCGAGCGTCAACTCCAACTCGTTCATCAACTGTCATTTGATTAAACATATTTTTTGCCAAAATAAAATTCAAGTTCATGCAAGAGTCAACCCCAATTCGTTCATTGCCCATCATTTGATTAAATAGACTTTTGTTGATGTCATCTATAATTCTCTGAAATATCTAATATGCTATTGTTGAAATTTTAAGACTAAAAATAAAAAAATTAACCAAACAAAAAATGTAATATTTAATCAACGTTAACCCATGCACCTAGGGTTGTCAAATGACCTGGGCAGCTAGAGATCAACACAGTTTGGCTTGCTTAGACTTGTTTAATTTGCATAATGAAACGATTTTTATCTTATTTCTATGCTCTTTTTGTAAACAAGTTGAAGAATAGATATAGATATGGGACATGGATGTAACACGACATGGACACACGGATACGACATACCTTAAAAAAGTAGGACACTGAACGTCGAAGACACATGTTTCAAATAATTAATATTTATATGTCAAATTATAGAGTCTATCACAAATATAGGCATAATGATAGCATAATTCATAACTAATTCAGAATTTTATGACAGGCAATTCTTATGTGTAGTCTCTTGTGTGAACTTTTCAAATTAAATGATCATTGTAGTTAATAATTTTTGAAGACAAACTGTAGCAAAAATGCATAATTGTAATGATTGCTCTCATCTTCTCGATTGCTCTTTTTTAACAAACCTTGATGCATCTTTTACACTAGCCTCAACAGTTAAACATCTGATAGTGTATTAGTCATTTGTATTTGTTATCTTTTTTAATTACATGTCAATTTATGTTTACTGTTTAGTAGACATGGTCCAAAAAAGTTTCGAACACGTCACTAAAGGAATGTCGGACCCATGTATGAAATTAAAATTTTATCTTTTAATTAGGCATGAATACAAGAGTATTGAACACTTGTGTGATAGTGTTCGAAGAATGTCGGTGCGTGACACTTGTCCAATACAAATACGTCACCTTAAAAGTGTTCGTGCTTCTTAGAAGGTGAATCCAAACATAATATATTTATGTGGCTCAGCCCAAGGAAGCTTGACTCAGCTCAAATAGGTTGTTGTTCCTGTCTCCAATTATTTTTAATTTTATTACCAAAGAATCCTTGTCCTAAAGATGAACAACTCTAAAGTTATCCCAAATTACTGCAGACTATATATACTTCCATCTCCATCTCAATTTGAACTTCTAAGGTTTGCTTTATTGTTTATTTTATAGATCTTGGGGGATTTTTGTTGAGAAATTGATTATTTCATGATTAATTATAAATTTCTAGGTTTAAAATTTAGAACTCTTTAAGGTGATAGACTAAGCTTGGTCTCGGTACGGGTTCAGTTTGAATGCTCCCAAATTTTTGCAGAGCCAAGTTTAAACAAGATCTAGGGTCGACAATCGAGCTTGTCTGAAACTGAAACTTGACCATTCGGCAGTCATAGAATATGAGCATACTCAAGCTTGATAAGCCCTGCTCTGTATTCTTTCCCTCACTTTATAGAGATCTTGGCTTTCTAGTTTTTTGTTTGTTTGGTCAGCAGGTGCTGTGGAGAAATCGTTTAGGAAACCAAGCATGTAATAAGCAGCACCACTACTACGACCCTTTCCCTACCTATAATGGGCAGGCCTCCTCATCCCCTTACCCTTCTACCCGTAGCCCCTCAAACCCCATTACAAGCACTATTAACCTAAAACCCACTTGCCTATAGTATCTCCCCCACGCTCCTGCCAAATCGCATCTCTCTCTTTGTCTCTCTCTCTTGCCTCCTATCACCTATCCCTGGCCCCAACATACACACACTGCCACCACCACCACCACACCCACATATAATAACCGCCGCCGCCACCCCACCAAAAACAGCACAAAGGGTATTAAGAGGGGAATGTCGGGTGTAGGAGTGATATGAGGCTCAAGAGGGGTGTCTCCTCGGGGTTTGGTTTTTAAGGGGTGGGGGGTATCTGGGGTTGTGGAGGGAGGAGAGAAAACATAGAGGCAGGTACTATCGGACACATTTGAGTTTGGGTATGGGTTTGTTAGTCTGGTTTTGGGCTTATTTAATTTTGACTAAAGGACAAAATAATCATTTCATTATTTTGTCAACTAGGGCTGACTGTAAGATATAGAAACTTATGGGACATAGTGTATTTTCTCTAAATCTAAAGGGGTGTCATTGTGATTTACTCTTAATTTGTTTTAGTGTGAAATGTTCTGGAGTTATATGAGGGGAACAGCCCATTTACTGCTTCCCACTAAAGAACTACAAAGTTTTCTTTAGTTATCATTAATCGGTTATGTCGTTATGATCCTGTACAACGCCATAAATTTGTGAATAGGCACTTAAAATGCTATGTCAAAGCATTTTATTGTTGCTTTTCGATGATGATATTCATTTCATTGTATGGTTTTTTCTTGATGAAATCTCTTTTAACATTCAAAAGTTTCATTTTCAGGAGGTTGAGTATTCTGGTGGGGGTTTCCCTCTGCACTAAGGTGTTTGCTCAATATGATGTCCAGGCAAAAATGGATTTCTTTGAATCTGTTGAGTAGAAATAGTTTTGCTGGAGCAGGATGGACTTCGCAGCTATTATTGGAGCTGATGACCAATATGTTTGTGTTTCATCTTTGAGCAAGACGATGCGTGATGGGTTATTATTTCGTATTTTCTTATCATTTGGGCTTATCATTGAATGTAATTATAGAGAGAACACAGGTGTAGTTAACGAGTTAATCGTGCTAAAAATACACTCGTGAGTGAGATATGAGTCTGCAAAATGCAATGGAATCTGTTTGAAATGAGATTTTCATATCCAAAGGCTCTAGAGAACAAGTCTTGCCAGACAATTAGGATTAATTTGCAAAAACTGGTTGGCAGCTCTTGTATTGACATATTATTGGTAGGAAATCTTTGTTTTTCCATGTTTGGAAAATACATAGTTCAAGGTCGTGATATTAATCATTGACTCGGAGGGCATGAATCAATTATTGATCTACTGCAGTTTTGAATTTATTTATCTATTAAATTACGGTAATTTTTAAAAGTGAGGTCAATAATTCTGTGGCTAATGATGATAATTTAAAAAAAAAAAAAAAAAGGTCAATAATTCTGCTTTTAAGAGTGGAAACAGGGTCAGCAGCCCTGTTTTCAACATTTTCTCCTTCGTTCGCAACGGACACAGTGCCCTTCCTTCGCGTCTTCCACACTCACACGCAATGACATTATTTGTTGATTCAATTTCTTTGAGAGCACGACTTATAGGGCTGTTTGGTAAGGAGGGTATGGGGGGACTTGGTAAGATGAATTTGGGATGTTGATCCAAAGAATTTTTAAATTTCATGTTTGGATGGAAAATCTAATCCTGGGTTCTTAAATTTGACCCGTGGCTTGCCCAAATATTAAAATCATGATTATGAATTTCGTCAAACTTAAAGGGGTGAGTTTGAGGAGATGTGTTAAGAAGTTAAAGATGTAAAAGACAATTATATTGATTAACATGGGTATGAATTGGATTGATCAAGAATAAAAAAATCATTTATAGGATAAATAGTTATTAATAATTATGATATATCCATGGGTTCTATATGTGTATGTGGCGCATACGAATCATAAGTATGGACTGAATGTAATGTTGAATCTCATCTTTGTAAAGAAAAATTTGAGTTTAGAAGAGTTTAAAGAAGTCAATTTGAACTTCCTAAAAATTAGGAGCGCCTCACTTAGACCTTCACTTACTCTCAGTCTCTCTCGGTCTCTCAATCTCTCACCGATTCACCCTCACTCACCTGCACCTCCTCCCTCACTCCCTCTCATCTTTACCTCTCTCTCTCTCTCTCTCTCTCTCTCTCTCTCTCAGAGCAACCTCCTTCGTCTTCATCGGGTATGCATATGGCATTTGTGTTTATGCAAAGATAATCCGAAAAGAATAGGCATCATACTCAGTTTTTGAATAGAACACATGATGGTTCAGTTGGATTTTGTTTAAACTAGTTTCATTATTTAGCATGTCTGATCATTTAAAAATTATCAAAAGAAAGCTTCATCAAAAAAATGTCGTCTTAATGTGAAGTAATTTTTGTTAGAAACTTGGGGAATGTTTGTGTTCTGTATGGCAGTGTTATGTTTGTGTTCTATATGGTTGTTAAATTGGCAACAGTTATGTTTGTGTTTTGTTAAACTGAAAGTGTTATGTTTGTGGTTGCACTAAATCAAGTTATGTTTGTGTTCTGTTAAACTAGCAGTGTTATGTTTGTGGTTGCGGTCAATCAAGTTAAACTTAAAAACTTGATTAAAGTTGTTGGTTGTTAAATTATTTGAATATTATGTAATATATGTATCAGGTTTAGAATATTAACCCAAAATCAGCCTGAAATCAGCCCGTAAAATAACCCAAAATCAGTCTGAAATCATTAACCTAAATCAACCTGACCTCACCCGAATTAAACTCGGACAGTGCTTGGGTTGAGTTTATCAACCAGAGGTAGAGTTAGGGTTGAAAATTATATACCTATAGTTAGACTAGGGTTGACTGTCCAATCCGCCCGAATTGCACTCTACTAAAAATTCATCCAAACAAACTCTTAAGGGTGTGTTTGACAATTCATGGATGGACTGAACTGGGTTGGATTTAAATACCAAACCGTGAAATCTCAATTGGCCAAATTTATAGAGGTATAAAAGTTATTTGTGTTATCTAATCCCTA